GACGGCACCTTTACCATTAGGAGATCCTTGATCACACACTGTCATTCTTATATCAAGATTGATTTGGTTTGCTTTCTATCTCCAGCAATAACCTCAACCATTCTATTAATTTTTCATCTTTCATATTATGGCGCACTAAGAAAAAGGCTGCCACCATTTGCCACTTATGGGATGAATCAAGTCCATCGACTTTTTGTTCTACCCAATGGTGACATTTCTACAAATTCCAGGGAAACATCATTTAATTCTACCCACTTTTCAACAGTCCTACTCTAAGGCAGTTGCAGTCCTGTCTGACTCATTCGCTCATGACAGGATGCCGACCAGTAATGAATCTTCATAGCTAAAAGTCGTTCATCGTCCTGATAGGCTTCTCTACAATTATCAGGCCGCAATTGTAAATTAATCATCGTCTTACGCGCGTCGTTAACATTTTGAGAATCTAAAAAGCTTTTAGCATCAACAATTTTATTATCAAGAGAATTATTAAGAGAAGCATAATTAATCGTTGTTTTCCGATATTCTGTTAATTGTTGATTAACCTTTTGAAACATAGATTGCAATCTTGCATTTTGAGCAATCAGTTGTAAATCTAGACTCGACTGTTCTGTGTCTTCAAACTCAACAGGAGGAGGAATCAGAACACGGATTTCTCGTTGAACAACCGCATCACCATTTTCTTTGGATAAATTAAAGATTTGCTTTTGAAAACTACCATAAGTTCTACCTTAAGTGTAAACTGCAATATAAACCACCCATCTTTTTTTTATGCACAGTCCCAACTTTTTAATTTTCAGGACTGTCCCGTCTGGGACAATAGTTACATTTTTTAATTTTTGAAAATACTACTTCAACTACTCTAACATTTTATCTCTTAGATATTTGTGTACTTCTGCTGGCAAAGGTTCTGTTATAATATATACCATATTTTCCTTTGTACACTTTCATTTTATGACTTCCATCTTTCTTGGTACAGTCTCATGCTGATTTGTTATCTCACCAGATTGTTAGTGGAAACATTGTTTTTCCGATAATATATCTGATGGATTTGTCCAAAGAAATTAGTTCTTGACATGTGTCACTCATTGCAAATTGCTTTGCTTGCCAAGTAGAAACAGTGGCATATGTCTGTGTGATTTATGCTTGCCTCTTAAATATCTGAAGAGACTCTTTTTACATCAGTCCAGTCTTCTTTGGTGGGTTCTTAATTGTTCTTGTACCAAGTTCATACAGTGATTTCTTTTCACTACAAGCGATAATTGTGCGATCCCTACTTTTTTATGACTGTAAATGTTTACATTTAACTTCAAATGTAAAAACTACAATTTTTTACTTTTTTCAATAAACTGGTATAATTTTTTAAAAAATGACTCCTAAACGAAAAAGAAATGTTAATTTTATCTAAGAATACAACGGACAGCGTCGAGGGGTCAGAGTGAAATATATTATATTAATGTACGAAGTGAATTAGAGTGTGGATCGACAATGGTCGATACTATCGATATATAAAATGGCGTTCGCGCTTGGATATTGACAATGTCAAATCTAGATGTCAACAACAATTACCCTAATTGTTCAATTAATTAAAAGAATTGATTCTTTACTGACCTGAAAAGCATGAATACTTCTCAACTAACAAACAATCAATCTGTCATTTAACTCAAATGTATAAAACAGGATTGAAGTTTAACAGAATAGTCACGTAACAAACTCAACTTGAACTCAATCGACACTTAACCAAACTGACATGCAACAGAATTATCAGTTAATGAACCTGACGTTCGACAGAATTGATACTTTACCGACAACTCTATGAATAGTGCCGCAAAATTGCACAGCGTTTACGACTTTTCTTGGAACTGTAGTACCCCCGCTGTTTGTGTATTTCTCTCTTAGGGGAAACTCGAAATTCAGAAGCCGTGCTAGAGTCGCTAAAGTGGGGATAGAGCTCGAGCGAGAAAGAGGAGAAGTGCCTTGATGGCATTACTGTCGATATGATAAAATTTTTGGGACCAATATCACAGGAATTCCTCTTAATATTGTTTAATAGAATGCTTCTGCACTCCTCTTTTCCATCTTCGTGGTTATACACCAGAGTTATAGCTCTACCGAAACCGGGGGGAAAGGGGTTTCGGCCCATCGCTCTCACCTCGGTTCTATCAAAAGTTTTTGAAAAACTAATACAAGGACGTCTGGAACACGATGTGGAGAGTCGGGGCTTGATTCCTTCCTACCAGTTTGGATTCAGAAAGCAAAGATCAGCGGTTGATTGTGTTGCAACTTTTGTAACTGATACCCTGATCGGCTTTGCTGACTCAGAGCATACTCTGGCAGTTTCTATCGATATTAAGGGTGCTTTTAATAACGTTCGCCCCCTTATTCTAAATACAATGCTTAGAGATTTAAACTTCCACCCCTGTATGGTAAACTTCATCAATCACATGACGAGAAAAAGGTACGTCTCTTTTAATGCTGACGGATCAGATTCAAAAGTCTGTGGTGTTGGAGTCCCACAGGGTGGAGTCCTGTCACCCCTTCTATTTAACTTGTATCTGAGAGATTTGGAACAATATCTTCCACCTAACATGAAGGCTGTCATGTACGCTGATGACCTTCTACTTTATGTAAAATTCTCTTCTGTCGCCAATCTTTCCACCGATGTTTCCGCGGCTCTGGAGAGTCTGTCTGCTTGGCTTGAAACACTGGGAATGGACGTCGCCCCGCAAAAAACGGTTTGTTGCATCTTCACAAAATCTCGATCATCCTTTGAGGACTTCGCATTAAGGCTGGGTTCCACCTCGATCATATGTGATCCTATAATGAAACACCTGGGTATACTTCTGGACCGGAAACTAAAATGGACACCGCATATAAAGATGATAGCTAATAAAGCAACGAAGGCACTGGGTATTCTCAGGATCATAACAAGGGCCACATGGGGCATTTCTCCCATGCTGGCCTTGACAGTTTATAGGAATTTAATAAGAGCTATTCTGGATTGGGGTTCCCCTCTTTTCGCTAATTCTGCTATGACCTCTCTAAAATGCCTGGATAGGGTGCAGTCTGCAGCCCTCAGAATGGCACTGGGTTGCATGAAATCAACATCTATCCCGGTTCTTCTGTCGGAGGCAGGCGAGCCCCCTCTAACACTTCGTAGAACATTCCTGACGAACTCGTTTATCCTTCGTAATTATTCGTGGTCTGACAACTTGCTAAATCCCCTTTTGCATACTCTTAACAGGAAACTAAAAATTCCATCACAATCAAAAGCATACAACAAAATACCTCTCGTTCCAACTTATATACAGATGGTTCCTTTGATGGACATGGGTTTTAGATCCGTTAGACCTGCTTATTTTGACTGGCCCTGGGAGGTCTTATTATTCTCTCCTGTGTGTGATATCTCTAACGGCATACTCCTCAAAGACCATAATTCACCTGAGATGTTCTTTAGAGAGATTCTATCGTCTGAGTTCGACGGCTACTGTCCTATATACACGGATGCGTCTTTAAACCCTGCAAATGGATTGTCTACAGCGGCTTTCTATGACGAAGTTTCAAATTACACACAATGTACTCCTCTCCAACCATACATCACGATTCTAACGGCTGAACTCTATGCCATCTACACAGCGATCACATACGCGATTGAACACGACATATCACGTACCCTTATAATCACAGATTCATTGTCCTCCGTCCAGAGACTCAGGAACTGTTTACTATACAAAAACAACCCATATATCATATATAGAATACTGGAATTATTGCATACAAACTCCGATCCTAACACTCTCCCCTCTTTCAAATTTATTTGGATCCCATCACATAACAGCATTTTGGGCAACGAATATGTCGATACAATCTGCCGTGAAATTAACATCACAAATAACAATAACAGAATGCATTTTAAACTCCCACGCGATGACCTGAGAATGAGTGTCTTTGCTCCGGACAGGAAAGCATGGCTTTCCCATCTCTGGCCATACTCAGAGAGGGACCTGACGGAGCACAGATACTTCTCAAGAGTATCCTTTAAAGCAGCCAGGCCCTGGTTTCGGGATATCAACCTTCCGAGGAGTTGGATAAACGTGGTCACTAGATTGAGAACAGGTCATACTCTAACGAGTGACCATTTAATAAGAATAAATTGGATTGGAGCGGCACGCTGCGATTGTGGCGAAGAACGTCGTTCCCTTACTCATTTATTAAATGATTGCCCAAGTTATGCACCAGCAAGACATGACTTTATGAGATTTTGGCATAGTAAATTTCCCAATTCAGTTCCCAATTCGGCAGATGTCGACGAGCTCGTCTTCTCACCCAATGAGCAAGTGGTCAGAGAGCTGGGAAAATTTTTTACATTCAATCATCATTTTATTTAATTATTTAACTTACAGCCTAAAATTTTTATCCAATCCCTTATTTTATCTATCCCAATAACTGACTTTACCCGCTGGTCTGAACGACATCTGTGGACCACTGGAACCAGTTCAGCATATAAATACGGTTCCCACCGCTTGCTTGCTGGAGAGACCTATCTACAAGTTTTAACCAAGGATTTCACATAACAATAACTAATGTTAACATATTTCTCATTCTTCTTACGTTAATAGTTCTGACACTCGGCAAGGCCACAAGTCATTTAAGAAGAAGAAGAAGAAGAAGAAGAAAGAGGAGAAGTGGCACTATTGGCAGAGTTGACTGTATTACGGTTGTCTGCAGAGTGTCGAGTCATGCCAGTTACGCGACTATTTTGTTAAATTTCAATCCCATTATATGCTAAGCTATTAAATGTCAGTAAGATTATGCGTCTTACAGGTGGAATTTTTTAAACAAATTTTATTTAGAGTTTATACAAATAATTCTAAATGTACGTTTTGAAACCATCTTAAAACAAACAGAAATTACTATTATCATAAATAAAATAATTTATTAAATAACATGAATTGTTCATTAAACCATTATGAATGGTATTAAATAACTGGAATTTGTTATAGATAAAATATGGAGATCTGCTTCCTGCAGATGGTATTCTCATACAAAGCAACGATCTCAAAGTAGATGAGTCCAGTTTAACTGGAGAGTCGGACCATGTGAAAAAGGGAGAAACTTTCGATCCCATGGTCCTTTCTGGTAAGTATTACAATTTATTCATTTAAAATATTATACTGAGTAACAGATAATTGTTCTTTCTCATATATCATACGCTTGTAACAAATATTTTCTCTTGGTATTGTGAAAATATTAAAAATCAGAGAGATTAATTATAATAATTACCTAAATTTAAAATCAAAATAAATGATTCGAGTTCATCCTTTTTTGTCTAATAATTAACATTTGCTCACATAAAATAAATAATGGTATAGAACCTGAAAATCAATTAGATATCGATGACGATACAAATTTCATAAAATAATGATAATGGTACTCATCTTTAAAACACTTCAATGTTGAGTGACCAGATTAATTCAAATTCCAGGAGTACAACAAAGTTATCCTCCTACGATGGGAGTTCTTGAATTCGGGACTATTACAACGACCACACTTTACATAAAGAAAATAAACAAAATTTATAAAATTTGATTGAAATAAATTAGAAATAGCAAAAAGAAACACTTGAAAATTAAACAATCCACCTTCCGTGTCCTCACTCCTAGAGAACACGGAAATTTATATTTGCAGAAATGTTAGACCGTCAGTATCATCCAGGAGCTCCCTATTATAAATATTTTTATTGAAAAATACATGAAGTAAGCGCTTCACGCTTCTTCAACTAAAATCCGTTTTCATAAATTTTATCGTGCGCTACACGCACTTTTCTGCTGAACTGCTCAGCCTGCAGCCAAGACTAACTCTCACCTCGTCTTTCTAAATATTTGCAAATTATAATTTCTGGTCAAATAGAACCTTCTCGTACATTCTATCAAACACTCATTCATTTCCGCATTAAACAAAACCCATATCGTACGCGTTATAAATTTAAATATATTATAGTTATTTGTATAAAGTAAATCTATAACAAACTTGTACTTTAATGGTAGATAATTTAAGTGGTCGTTCTACTGACAGTATGGACGCTTGGAGGATCCATCATTAAGCTCGCTGCATACAGCAAAATGTCCTCAAAACAGCGTAGGACTTTATGCTTGCCGCATGGATACGCTGCCTAAATTTACTGGACAAAAATACTTATTTATTTTGCTATTTGCAACAAGCTTGCAGTGCATGTTTCCTACAAGCTTACAAGTTACTTGGGAGAGTCTGTTAGAAAAAAATTATCATCGAAGGAAGAAAAAAATAGGAAAGAAATACAAGTAATATTAAAAGTCACTCATTAGTTTGATACTTATAACAAAGTCATCGTCATCTTCTTCATCATCATCAGCAGTTATAATTTCTATTTTGTTGAAAATGATTTCTTACGAATTCACGTACGCGCTCAGGAACATATAAATCTTTCTACAGTTCCTTTATTCTCACACTCATCCTTTGCTCTCGATTTTGTAAATTCTTCTCATATGTCCAATTTATTATTAAATCACAGATTTAACAGTTCTCATAATTTGATTATTTTCTACAAACTATTACAGTTTCTTTTTCTCTTTGTACCTGTAAAAATAATATTTAACCCTCTGTTGGACACATGTTCCAATGTCGATCAGAAATTAAACATTAAACATTCTAAGGATATATTTTCGCCTGGTTGCTTTTTTGTAAATCGTTGGCTACGTAAAGTTTATGAAACAACTCGAGAGCACAAGTTGGTAGATAATTTATATTTATTTTATTTAAATAAATATGAAAATCGTAGGTGTCCCACGGAGAGCGAGCTGTACCTTTAAAATACTTTCTCGATTTGACTACATAGTGAGGGAATATAATGGGATAAGTTTGATATTATTGAACTTTAAAATAAGAGGCGTACTAGAGTAAATCTATATTTATATTCACAAAAATTCTGATACTGATTGAAATACTTATTTTACCCATGATGTATTGCTTTTAAATTGAAAAATTATTAAAAGAAACTTTTTCCATTTTAGGGACACATGTAATGGAGGGATCTGGTAAAATGTTAGTAACTGCAGTTGGCGTTAATTCACAAGCAGGCATTATTTTTACTCTTTTGGGAGCTGCTGTAGATCAGCAGGAACAGGAAATCAAAAAAATGAAAAAAGGTATGTCAACACTTCTCTTTAGTTACCTTTTAGGAAAAGAATCACTTTCGTCGAGAAAATGTTCTTTTTAAAACAATTCACTTATATAAAGTGCAATAAGGGCGTTGTACAAAAAAAGTGAGTTTTGAAATTTCTATACGTAAAGTTTTTTTCTTATATAAAAAACTTTACGTAGTCAATTGTCGACTATAAATCAGGTGTAGGGGAGAGTTCCAGTGAAGAGCAATAGAACTGCGCACATAGCGTCACTGTCGAACTTTCTGGCTTGTCCAAAATGTCTGACTGATGTCCGACTACTGAAGCTTTCCTAATTTTTCATTAAAATGCTTATATTTTATTAAATACTCAAGTATTTATAACAAATTTATATGATTTATAGTCCTGAAAAACTCCTTTCATTGATAATGTGCATTTACGCTATGATAAGTTAATGTTTACTGTTTATAATAAAATTTTAAAAATATTATTACAATGACAGTATAAAGGGAAATTATAAGAAACCTTTTTTTTTAATCTTTTATTATATTTATGAGCATTCAGTTCAGATTGACATATTCTTACTTCAATTGTTGTTTGTTTCGAAACAATTAATTTACTTTGTTAGTGATACTTATTGCGCCCTTTGTGCGCTTAACTAAATAGGTGTGAGGGATCAATTTCAAAAGTGTACATAAAGAGGTGCATGAATATTCCTCAAATGTTTATTAACCGAACTGCATTTATCAGACATGTCACTTAAGATAATAATTGATTATTTATTAACATAATTATTAAGTGGAGTAACAATTCAAAGAAGTGCAATCCGATTCAATAACATTTTAGTTGAATGTCATTTTCATGTGTCTCAAAAATAAACACAGAAAAAATTCGATCTAAAATTGAGTAAGAATCTGTCTCAATTTGATACGCATAAAAAATGAGTCATTTAACATGTCATTTAACATAGACTCATTTTGAGATGCAACAAAAAAGAGTCCAAGTTTTTTTTGTGCAATATATGTGACGCACTCCCAAGAAAGGTACATAAGAAGCAAAAAATTTGAGGTTTTGTTTATAATTTTTTGAGTAAACATACGGAAGGGGAATCAATTACTATTAAATATTATTAATGTTCCAAGTTTTTATTACATCAAAAATATTTACACTCGAATCTCGCTATAACGAGAAGTTCGGGAGTCAAGTCTCCCTCTATTACGAGCGCAAGAGGAGAAATGAGAAATCCCCACTTTTAAGATTCTTCATTCATTTTTTTAGTGTTTACAAATTAAATAATGTCAAAATTACAAACGTAACCTAGTTTAATTTGAACTTTAACATACAGAAAATTTATATAAGCTTAAATTTTGAAGATGTTCGACTCATTGATATAATTTCAAATAAGAAGTGACTTTTTATTTTTATTTCATATAAATAAAATTGATTTTAACCAAATTTAAACCAACTGAAAGTGCATTTGTTTATAAATAGTGGGGGTAATCGGGAGAAAATTTTTCTCGCTATACCGAGAGACAGAGCCCTCGTTATAGAGAGCGCTCGTTATAGAGAAGGTCGTTATAGCGAGATTTAAGTGTAATAAGAACTGGTAATTAAAAAGGAACTTTCAATCAAGATTAATATAACAAAAACATAACCTAATATAATTGGTTTGTTCCTTAGGTACCTTTCTTGGGAGCGCATCACCTATTAATAACTTTGTTTAAATAAAATTAATTGCTTCTGTAAGCTGGCTAAAATTACTCATTTGTTCCAACCTCAAATACTTAAGTTTTTGAGTAAGGAATTAAGGATGATGTTTAGCAGACTAAAATTCACCTACCAAACTGTCTGATCTTACACCTACGTACCGCAAAGTACAGAGGGACGCATTAAAACAATGCAAAAAGAATCAACTTTTCTCAAAAACCATTTATCCAATTGAGGACAATTGCAGACGAAAACGTAATTCCTGACTATTACTCTTACTTCGTGACTGCTACTATCAATGTATATGAATAATATTTAGGTTAGTTTAAGTAACAAATCTCAAGTCTCTAAGGGAGATGACGGTACCCAGTAAACGAAAACTAATTGAAATGAATTAAAAAGAATTCACAAAGAGCTTTCGTGAATCCCGCTTTGTGACAAATACGAATTGGAGCCTACCAAAAATGTTAATTCGTTTCAATTCATTTGAATTAGTTTTTTTTTACTGGGTACTTCGAAATCTCCTGTAAAAATTGACAGATAATATAAACGTGCAATGAAAAGACGCAATGAAAAGAATGCTTTCAAGTTGCAGGAGGTAAAAATGAAAGAGTTCGCTTGTGCAAAGTACGTAAAAGTCCTCTTTTATGTACTGTACGATTTTTACGTCCTCCGCATTTGTGCATATATCAGAAAGGCTTACTTTAAGTATTAAAAGCAGTCAAAGATGCGTAATCATTTTTGCATTACTTACAAATATTTATAGGTCGTTCCAGGTCAAGCCTAGAATAGGTTTTCATTGAAAACAATTATCAAGGCTTTTTAGGTAGTGGCTTTTTAGTTGAAGAAAAGGATACAATTGTTTTATTACATATTGTGGTAAAGAAACTATGGAAATTATATGTTTATAAATCCCTTAACTCAAACAATCATAAAACAATTGCATTGCACATAGTAGGGGAGACTAGGTGCAGTTGTTACAATTTTGATAAAAACAGTTACTGTGATTAGAGTTTAACTCCAATTTGTTTGGTGAAACGATTAAATCAAAGGTATATTATCTAGTTTTAAAAGGCCATAATTGATTTAGCTCTACACTGAAAGAATTTTGGGCAGGCTGCAGGCTTTACATGAGTGCCGCTAGAGCTCGCTGCCTCAAGCTCGCAGTTAACCTCAAAAAGGCGAGAATCTACTCCCGAAAGGTAAGCAGCAACTCCTCAGGGACAGCTGCTCACCTTTCGGGAGTAGATGCTCGCTTTTTTGAGGTGAGCTGCGAGCCCTGTGCAAAGAGCACTAATTTCGGACATGAAAAGCCAGCAGCCTGCCTAAAATTCTTTCAGTGTACATCTATTATTTAATTAACTACAAGAATTTGAGTGACAGCGTGTAAATTGCAACAACTGCACAAAGTGAATGTCGGTTGTTACAATACCAAGAATCATCTATAACATTTCTAAATTGAAGACAAATAATTTCTTATAACAACTTTGATTAATTATTCTTAATTTTTGACTCAACGTAATAGTACGTGACAGTTCCATAAAGATGGCAGCATTAATATTGTTTCGAAATGAAAGAAACTTTAAAAAGTTTTTTTTCATTAATTTTGAATACGAATTTAGAAAAACTATGAGATTTTTCATAAAAAATGAGTGTGATCCCATTTTTGACCAATATTTTACATTTCAAACGAATCTGCTGAATTTTGGAAAAAATATCCGTTCTCATTATCACTTGTAACAACTGCACAACAGGTACATTTTTTACAATAAAACACTTTATTAAAAAGTATACACTAAATGTGGACAACCAAGGCAGTTTCTTAAAGCTTAATCCTCATAGAATTGATATTAAAAAAATTTACTTTGCTAAGTATAAAGGTCTATTAATTATTTAAAAAATATCAGGCAGAGAAATATTTACTTTTGGCCTCTAAAAACCAATGTGCCTATTTTTTTACTTGTAAAGCTTGCATATAATTTTTAAACATAATGCACCAAGTTCGTACATAAAAACTAAACATTTTTCTCTTTGGAACCCCATCGCTATAATGAACTGTCTCTGAGATATTCCATTTGTAGCAACTGCACAGCGTAACAACCGCACCTAGTCTCCCCTATCGATAAACAAAAATTTATTTAAAGTGAATATTTTCGACGTGTTCTTTTCTTCAGCTAAAAAGCAAGGTGTCCTCTTTTCCAACCAAAATTCGAGGTAAAAAAAGCAAACATGCAATACCAGTATTGAAAAATGTACATTTTCATTAAGATTAATATACATTTATATTAAATTTAATGCAAATGTATATTGAATTTAAATACTGGTATTGCTTATTTGCTTCGTATACAATTTATTAAATTTAATACAGAGTTTTCTATCAGTGCACGGGTTTTTGAGGACTCTGATTCCGAAGTCAGATATTGAATTTTGAAAACAGTAGATCCAATATGTCGGACAACTTTTGAAAAATCCATCGATTTTGCTTGAAACACGTTACTCTTGGATTTTTGTGTGCGTTGAATACGAATATAAAGTCAGATTTACAAAATTCAAGGAGAAGGCTCCAATATTGGAGATAAGTTACTCGGGGTGTTTTTTAAAGTCGCTGAGTACGAATTTGTAGTCAGGTTTCTAATTTTAAAAAGAGGGATCCAGTAAGGTGGTTACATAAAGCCTTGTAAAACAACAGTCAAATACGAAACTCACATCATGAAATTCGGTTCTTCTCGTAATTAGGAAATTAGTCAATTCTTGGTACACGTGTCGTAGGGTCTTTCTTCGGTGCACTAATAACCTGCGGGGATTTAAGAATCGTGCTTTACAAAAGCTCATCTTATCAAGTAAAAGTAATACTAAACTACATGATATTTTTAAGAATGATTATTAAAATAATTATAATGTGATTCGAAATATTAATAGCATTAATGAAGATGTGACGCGCTCCAAAGGATGGTACCTAAGGAGCGAAAAATTATAGGTAATGTTTGTAATTGTTTGATTGAAAACATACAATATAGGAATCAACTGTCAATATAAAGCACTGACGTTTAAGTCTTCATTACATCTTAAATAATTAATAAGAATAATTAAATTATTAAATAATAAAAAATAATTAATAAAAAACTGTTTCATATTTTACACTTATACATATCTTTCAATTAAGGTAAAAATAGCGCAAACATAACCTTAAAATGATTTACTTCTTAGATACCTCTCTTCGAAGAGCGTCACAGATGATTTTGTTGATCACTCGGAGGAGTCAGGTTAAAAAATAAAATATTTAATATAAAACTATTCTTTACGATTTAAGGCCACAA